CCTTTCTTCCCAGGCACGTGCAGCCAAGACCAGATCCACAGTTTCCAGGACGCAAGCAGGGCAGGGTACCGAGCGCCCAGCGCGCCAGCTGGCGAAGAGGCGGGCGCTTGCAGGACTTGGCTGCCCTCTCCAGAGGCAGCTCCTAACTCGGCCGCCGGGCCACGCTGACCTCTGATCCAAAGCCGGCCGGGAAGGGCCCGCGGGGAGGGAGCAGCAGAGGCGTGGGAGGGAAGTACTCACCGGAAGAAGTCGTTCTTGCAGTAGAGCTTGCCTTCCCGGGAGAAGCACTTCTCCGTCAGGTTGCATTTACATTCACAGCACTGGACGCACTTGACGTGCCAGGCCCTGTCCAGCACGTTCAAGAGAAAGCGGTCCAGGATGGGCCTTTTGCAGCCGGCACAGTGCACCATGGTCTTTGGTTTGATCTGGTCTGGTGAGGCCCGGAGAGAGAGGGACAAAGTAGAGCCGAGGGGATGACTCCCGAAGATGACCGGCACGAGCTCCCCAGCCCCTCCAAAAAGAGGAGGCAAAACCCGCACCAGGAAATCAAAGGGGGGAAACGAGGTTGGTGGGGGACGGGGGGGCGTCTCTGTGAAGTGTGCAGCCGGGAGTCCCAGGGCTCCGGGGCGGAGCGGCACCGCCTCAGCTCCCGGGGCGAGGAAAAGGAGTCTCAGGAGGGCGAGAATGCGACCCTTCTGCCCAGAGCCCGCGTAGGAGTGAAGGTCACCGAGAACGGCGGCGGGAGTGGAAATAAATAAATAAAACGGAGACGGAGAAGACGACGACGACTCGGCGAGCTGCGGTTGCGGGGAAAGCGCTTCTGAGTTCTCTCGGGCTTGAGGTAGAGCTGTCAGAAGTCAAAGTGCATCTGCTTTTGTCGGGGTATGAGGGCGAGTGTGTGCGTGCCAGGCTGCCCACCACTGGGATTTCCCCCCTCTTTTTAAAAAAGAAAAGGAAAGAACAAAACGGGTAGAGAAGCTTTGGATCCTAAACTGCCGGCATCGCGCAGCGGGTCGGGACGCGCCGGGCGCCCGCGCTGGGCCTGGGGGAGGGGGCGGGGACAGGCCGAGGAGGGAGGGAGGAAGGGGAGGGTTGGGAGGAAGAGCTTGTTGTTGACTGCTGTTGTTGCTTAGGTTTCCCCCCTTTTGGAGAAGTGTTTGTGTCAATCGAAAACAGAGAGGGACAACTCTGGGCGGACGCAGCCAGGCGCACTCGCTCGCTCCCCACCGCCCCAGCCCAGTCACCTCGGCCGGTGGCCGGCCCGGCGGCCTCCGTGTCCTCGGGGCGGCCCTCCCAGTGCCTGGGCTCCTTCGGGGAGGCTATACAGGCTGGCTCCTCACCGCGCCTGGCCGTGCATCGTGGCTCCAGTCACAACTCGCGGCCGCCTGGGCGCGCAGCCCCGCATCGCTCGGCCCACGCTCCGCTGCCTCGGTCTAACCCCACAGTCGCTCGACTTTCTTTCCTTTTGCCCCTTTTTCCTTTTCTCGTTGTGGTGGAAAATCTGGGTTTCCTTTCTAGCCTCCTTTTTTGTTTTTGTCTTTTGCAGCGGGAAGAGTCGGGGAGGAGGGGGGCAGCTTGGAGAGCTTTTTAAAAATGTCCTGGTGTAGCGGCTACAGTAGGCCGGCGGCTGGAACAGCTCGGCGCGGGCCGCCGCTGTCGCCGCCCGGGCCGCGGCTTGTTGCTGGCTCTCCCCGGGCGCGCGTCCCTCGGTCCCTGGTCTGCTGGCCCAGTCCGCCGCCCCGGCGCGTCTCTCCCCAGCTCCGGCGGCTCGGTCACTGCTCCTGGCTGTTGGCTGAGCTCTGGAAGCCCCCTCGCCTTAATGCAGCGCCCGCCGACGTCACGGCAGCCTGTGACCAATCAGCGCTTCGCGGTCCCTCTGTAAACCATTCTGCATCCCCCGGCCAGGGAGAGTGCGGGGAGACCGCGTTTAGAGGATCAGTGGCGGCGGCACCCGCGGCCCCGCGCGACGCGGGCGGCGGGCAGCGCGGTGCCTGGGCCCCTCCTGCTCCGGTAAGGCGTTGTTTTCGGTGGGAGGGACTGAGAGAGGGCGGGAATAGGCGCAGGCGGATGCCAGAGTTCTGCAGGAGAGTGGGGATAATCCCAAACCGAGCCTTGGTGAAGGTTGGGGTGCTGCCGGGTCCCGAATCCCAGGCGGCCCCACTGCACCACTTGGCTTTGCAGTTCAGCGGGTGTTGGCATTTTCCCCCCTTGCTTTCTTGACCTGGAAGTTTGTCTACGGCACGGCGCGCGTTTTTGAAGGGGGAGGGAGTACTTGGCAGCAGAATCTCCCTCCAGTCTCTTTCTGTGTCCCCTCCCCCAATCCATCCAAAGTCCACAGGGTCCGAGTCTCCGGGAGATCTGGGTGTCCCTCTCCCGCAGCGGGCTCTCGAAAAGTTGAGTGGGGCGGTTTCCTGGTGGGGGCGGGGAGACCGGAGGCGCGGCGCCCGGGAGGGGGAAGGAGTGGGTGGGGAGCGCCTCGGGTGAGGAGTTGCAACCCTGGCGAGAAGTTGTGAGAAAACTGTGATCCGGAGACATCTTTTACATACAAAAACAAACGACTACGCGGGAAGCCGCGGGGCTCCCGGGGCGGCTGGGGGGTGGTGATAGTGACGGTGGGAAGCGGGCAGGAGCGGCGGTGCCCGGGCGCCACGAAGAGGCTGCAGTAGATTGGGGTGTGCAGTGCACGGGCAGAGTGTGCTCAGCTGCTATCCTCCCCTTTTCCAGGCTTTGGGCTGGCACCGGCTTCCCCAGACAACAGCAAACCATGCCCTCCATAGTTCACTCCTTGGGGAGCCCCTAACTCCCTAATTCCGCTCTGGGTATGGACTCGGGACCACCACCCACTTGGGTGATTGCTCCCAGACTTGGTGGACAGATCCGGGTCTTGACAGCTTTGCCTCGGAGAGTTATTCTAGTTCCTTGGAGCACTCAAGTCAAACCTCAAATGGTTTCAACCGCATCATTTCTAGGCTTAACTGGAATTTCTCCGAAGTGAAGTCTGAAGGCAGGGCTAGGCGGTTCCACTTTTGTTCCCCATTTTTGTTTTATTTGGGGGGTGGTGGTGCTAGAAAGGCACATCTGGCCCTAATATGGAAGGAAGGAAGGGTGGGCGGTCAGCTAGCAGTAGCTGGTGTTTTTGAATTGGCTTTTTGACCTCACTCGCGATACAGGGGTGAGAATTTCCACGTAGGGTTCGAGAGCTGAGTGGGGGGAAATGCCGGCGGAAACGCAGTTGCAATGAACCTGGGCTGGCAGGGAATCCGGCTCTGGAAATGACATACCCTCTTCGGACGAACTGGGAGGTCGCTGCAGCGAATTTGATGTCTGGCGCCCCGTGGGATTGTTGAGTTTTACGTCTGCCAACCTCTGCCAACCTCAGAGGCAGTTTTACCTCTGCCAACGTCCCTTTCCTGACTCCACCCGCATTCCCGACGCCCGTGCAGTCTCTACCTTGCCGCCAGCGTCACCTTTTCATTGGAAACCGAAGCCGGCCGGCCGAGGCCCGCAGTGCGACTCTTTGGTGCTCCGCCCCGTCCTGACCTTTGGGCGCTGGGCCCCTAAAGCTTTCTTCTCACTCCCCTGCACATGCATACCTGGTCTCGGGCTCCCAGGTGCTGGCCAGGGCAGCGCAGAGGTTAACTCGCGTGCACCAACTCCCCCTCCCCGCCACCAGTCCCTCTCAGTCCGGGGTTCAGGGCAGGGCAGGGCAGGGCAGGGCAGGGAATGGGATGGAGGAGGCGGTTCTCCGACCTAGCTGGCATGCTCCATGGGCTTGGACTTGGCTCCGCGCTTTGCGCTCCTCCTGCGGACCCGACATTTCCTGGAGCAAGCCGACCCGTACCGGTAGTGTCCTGGCACCCCAGCAGGCGCTAAGAGCCGCATAGCGCCGGGTCCTTACTTTCTCCACCTGGACCCGGAGGCGCCTCCCAGCCCGCTGTGCAGGCTGAGGCCCGCGGGGAGGAGCTGGTCCAGCCCAGCAGCCCTCACCTCTCCCTACCCCAGCTGCCCGGGTTCTCGCTGCTAGCGCCCTTGGCTCAACCGCCTCTTTCTGGAATCTATAGTGGCCCCAGCCCCGGGTGGCTGGCCTCCGCCCCTGCCCCAGCTGGGCTCCTTCTCATGCAAAGCAGAGGGGCCATGATGGGGTAGGGGACGGTCGGTGGGGACCTACAGGGCCACAGCTGGACCTGCCTGCCGGCCCTTCTCGAACCCACCGCCCGCCACTTTTCTCTGGTGGGCAGTAGAAGGTTGCTCCATCCTTTCAGGGGTGCAGGGACCTTGGGACATAGATGTGGGGGGAAGAGGGTGCCTCCCCACAGATGGGCCAGCGCAGTTGGGGGCGAGGGCAGGACTCTGGCTCTAGGGCTTGGGCTCTGCTTGTTGCGGGGTCCAGATGGCGCAGTAAACAGGTCCATGGGCGCCAACCCTGGCGCCTAGGAGGGCGTCTGGGAGCGAAAGGCAAGGTGCACCTCTTGGCTTCTGATTCTAGGTTTAAAGTCCAGATTTAACGCGTCCACGCAGACAGTACACTAGACTAATGTTGTTGTTTTTCGTTTTCATTGAGCTTTTATTTTAAAACATAATCGGTCGCAGAGACACGGAGAGAAAACTGACCGAGCTTTCTAAATTGGCCTCCGAAGCCGCTCAGCTCAGTTCTTTATTTAAACCAATGCCGGTCCAGCGGTGAGCGCCAGCCTTCCCTCCTCACCTTCGCCGACGCGTCTGTGTCCTCAAGTACACAAGCGCTTCCCTACCCGACGTCCTCCAAGTCACACTGACCCACAACCACTTACATCGCCCCAGGACCGTACATTCTCTGGAGGAGGTGCCCTTAGGGTCATCTTCAGGGCAGGTGCATCGCTCAGTGGCCGCAGAATCTTTTCCACCCCTTTGCCAGGCACCCTCGGAAAAGGCCCCAAACGGCCCAGAAGCGGCCAGCACGGACTAGCTTTCTCTTCTGAGAAGCTCCTTGAGGATCACCCTGAGAGGAGGGAGCCTGTCCCCGAACTGGGAGTGGAGAGAGTTCTGTCAGCCCTCCCCAGTTGCCCTGCAGTTTGGGGATCTGAAGGCGCCCCCTCCCGCACACGCTTTCCTCCCGCCGCCTCCGCGGTCCCGAGCCCCACCTCCTCTCCTTGCCGCGACGTTCCCGAGTGGATTGCGCGGCCCAAGGACCGAGCCTACCCAGTCACCGCGGCTGCTATTGATCCCGAGAGTGGCGGCCGCCCCTGGCGTCTTCCCTCCTCTCCCATCACGCTTCTGTCCAACCCACGCCCCCCAGAAAAGGGCCGTTAGGTCGCGAAAGGAGGCGCCTGGGGCGGAGCCGGCCTAGGTGGTTGCTCTGTGCCGAACCGCGGGCAACTGCGCGCCCGGCCACACCCGTCCAGGAGGAGAGAGGAAGGAGCGAGCCGAGAGCATCCCAGGACCTGCCCATCCTGGAGGCCCAGCAAACTCTGCACAGACTCGGTGAGGACGCAGTAAAATGCGACGCAGGGAACTGTTTGGCCGGGGGTCCCTCGGATCTGATCGCCAACCTCTCCCACCCTCTCCTTCCCCTCTCGTTCTCTTCTGACTCAGGTTGCCTTAACCTCATCCATCGCTCTCTGGTGGACATGATCCACTGTGTTCAGTGCCTTACAGTTTGTATCACTATCTTCCCTGAACCGCATAGTAAGGGGATTAGGGGTGGGAGAGACGGATTGTAATTGTCTCCGTTTCCGGGGCTAGAAGCCCAAGTTAGGGGCTTGCCCGAGATCCCTCGGTCAGCGCACTACTGAAGGTGAGAAGTTGAGGTGCGGGGGCTCGTCACCTTGCTCCAGTGTGCACTTTGCCCCTGGCCACGTTTTCCAAGCCTGGAGGGCCTGGGCGGGGGTGGGAGAGGCAGGGACTGCGGGGCCAGGAAAGGGCAGCATCCGGCTGGGGCGTCACGGTGTGCGCTCGGCCTGGGTAAACAACGCTGGCTTCCCACGAGGGCTGGAGGGACCCTGGGCATGGCGGGGGGCGGGTAGGACAGCGAGGTCCAGCGTGGTGATCTCAGATGCAAGTCAGCGCAGCGTCGCCGAGCAAGGACAGGAGGTGGATAATCTCGGAAGGGAGAGGGTGAGCTGGAGAAGAGAGAGGAGAGAGACAGAAGTAAGGCGAGAGGGACAGAAACCCCGAGGAAAGAAGAGAAGGGATGTGGAAAAGCAAGCGGGGATAAAGGGAGGAAAGATGTGTAGGGAAAATGCTTGGAAGAGAGGAGAAAAAGAAGCGGAAAAGAGACCCAGAAAGACATCCCGAAACAGAAAAGGCGGCGGGGAGAGGCGCGGAGCCGAGGACCCGGGAGGCGCCGCGGGGGCGTCGCGCGGTCGCGGAGGGGGTGCGGCGCGTGGCGGGCGGGCTCGCAGCCGGGAGAAAAGGAGGCGGCGTGTTTGGTGCGCGACTCGGCGCCCGTGGAAAAGCGTGTGAGCGGCTCTGGGCAGGAATCCAACAAATAAATAAAACGTCTAAGACGGCGTGACAACAATGTGTATTTGGGTGCGTGCCCGTGTTCCTCTGTCTGAACACACATTCACACCCAGTAAGGAAGACAAACGGGGCTCGTGCCTCAGAGTAATTAATCCTCGCGCTAATTGACTCTCTCCCCTTACCTAATGGCGGTGGTCACTGCCGATATCTGGAGAGATATCAAGTGGAGGGAGGGAGGGAGAAGAGAGGGGAACCCCAAAGCTAACAACCTTTGGGACTGGGATTGAGTTTCTTTGGGACTTGGCAGCTCTAAGCCCGCTCTCCCCCACTTTTTGGGCAGAGTTCAATAGATGTTGCTCCTTGCCCCTCCAGGTTTGGGCAGCATTAATAAAGATCTCTTCAGATGAGGGGGACCTGGTTACACACTCTGAGGCCCTTCTTCAGGCCTCTGCTTGGGGAGCTCAGTCTCAGAGGCTGAACCCCACCCCCTGCACATTTCTTACCTCCAGGCAACACCAAAGCTCCCACTGCCCTGTCCTTCCCCCAGGGGCCCAGGCCCTGCACCTGCCTCCTTTCAGGTAACTACTGCTTACCCCTCCCGGGATCTGGGATGTGTCCTGCAGTCCCACAGAGCAGGTAAGGCTTCGAATGGGGTGGGTGCAAGGAGAGCATCAGAGGGATGAGGTCAGGGCGAGGGTGGGGGGAGGCTTCTAGAGACAAACTCACCCAGGCGCAGAAGCACAGAAGGGAGTGGTTGCCACCTGGCAAGAGTGAGGCCTCCAGGGACAAAGGAGGAAAAAGGTAGACACTGTGTTGAGTGTGTGGGAGGGCAAGGAGGTGGCCAGTCTCGACCTGTGTGCCTATGAGAGGGACAGCTCTGGTCTGTCTGTGTTAGTGTGGGGAGGGCCCCCCTGACTCCCCAGCAGTTCTCAGCACCCTCAGTTCTCAGGACTGGGGAGACAGTGTTGGACCCCATGGGCCCCTTGCTAGCTGAGTTGGCTTGAAGGGGTCCAAGGCCCACAGTCTGTCTGGTGATGCAGCTTTGAGGCTCTGCTCTGGGAGGTGAATGTCAACTCTCACCCCTGCGAGGTGGCATCTTTGCTCTGTTGGCCTCCTCAGAGGCTAAATAAATAAATGCTGAGATCTATAAACCTCCCAGCCCAGGGAGTAGAAGGAGGGAGGAAGGGCACCTCCCTAGAAAAAAAAAATCCACCGCCCGCCTTCCCCCAACTAAACACGTTTTTAATTGTCCCTTGGGAACATTTGTACATTTGACCAAAGCAAATCCCCAAGCAGCCAGGGCAAAATTAGTCATAGAAGCTGGTGGTCCAGGGAGAGTTGGGGACCCGGAGAGGGGAGGCAGTGGCGATGGCGGTGTGTTTGAGAAGGTGAGAAACTTGGCTCCTTCCTCACTGTCTCTGTCAAGCTGCAGAAAGAAAGTGAGCGAGAGGAAGAAAGTTCTAGAGGAAAGAAAGAGAAGGGCATATAAAAGGCAAATCCAAAGCAGAAAGGAAAGAAAGTAAAGAAGAAAGAAAAAGGCGGGGAGGGGGGAGAGACTATAATAAAAGAGGGTGAAGGCGGCCCCAGGAGGCTGGGCCTCGTCCCAAACCATCCGTCTTCATTGTCTCCGTGTGTGCAAAGGCAACTCCGGCATAAGGAAAAGCCACTATTGGAGCCGCGGCTTTATTTTATATCCTATACATCAGGAGGGAGGCAAAGCTTTATTTTCGCCAAGAGACAGATATTTTATTTCTCTCTTACGGTTTTATGTGTGAGAGATGTCAGGTTGCCACAATGGATGGCTAATGCATAGGCAAGAGGAAGCCGTGTTGGCATGCTGTGTGTCATGGGGTCTTGGGGGGGTGAGCGGGCCTGGGATTTAGGGCTGATGGGACACTCTGGGGGATTTCTGCTAAAACATCTCTCTTCATAAATCCAGAAGCATGGTCAGCTCAACAGGGAGAAGAAGGAGTTTTAGAGGGAAAAGAGTTGGGCTTAGTAATAATCGAACACACAAAGGAACCGCTTACCTTCCAACAGGCTCGGGCAACGGGGGCACGGCAGCCCGGTGGAAATGCAGAGACCCACGTCCAGACACACACGCGCCATTCACGGGGAAGTGTTCTCCTGACACAATCCAATGTCAGTTTTGCTTCCTTTCCCCGTTGTATATTTTTCCACCTTTCCCCCCCCCCTTCACCAGAAATCTTTTTTAACCTCCTCAGAGCCTTGGGGGAAAAGAGCCATTAATTTGCAAAGCATCTGATCTGTGAAAGGATCAAGATGCCTGTTTTTCACCGCTAAATCCAATGTCTTGAGTGGACACACATGTGCACACACAGGCCCATCACACTGTGAACCCTTGGGAATATAGGTGCCAGATTTGAATCCAAGCAAAGCCTCCCTTCCCCTACCCCCGGGACCTGCAGCCGAATTAAGCCTTAGATCCCAAACTGCATCATGTTCCTATTTCTAAATCTGGAGAGAGGTGGTGAGGCGAGGGGGACAAAGAAAAGGGGAAGTTTATTAATTAACATGTTCTGTTCAGGTCGTAGAGGAACCATCTCTCCCACTCCCACTCCCCCAAGGCATTCCTTACGGGAGCTGCTTTTATTCAGTCTCATGTCCTACTCTTTTAAATTTTAGATGTCTTGGTTCCTATCTACTGTGGAACAGAATGGTGACCGTGCCTTTTCCATCGTCTCAAAGGATTGGGGGCAGCGCAGGATCCCTAGACAATGAGTTGTGGGGACCCGGCCACACTGTCTCTGGCCTTTGGGGAAGACGTTTAACGTTTCTGGGCCTCAGTTTTTCCCATTTGTAACACCAGGGGATTCGGCTAAATGATTGCTGAGGTCCCTTCCAGCCCCGACCTCCTCTGACCGAATGAGATAATGTGTGAAAACACTTTGCGAACGCTAAAGCCGGACGGATGCCAGGGATTATTATTACGATTCTAATCAATCCTCTTTTCTCCACATGGATCTTGGCTGTTTAGCGCCAGCAAGCAGGCTAAAGAGGACCAAAAGCGGGAAAGCTTAGCAGAGATGGAAAAGCTCTGTGCCGTGGATGGAAAAAAAAAAAAAAACCCTGCATCTCCAGAAACATTCTGTCTCTGCGTGCCCCCTGAGGCCTGGTGGGAAGGGGTGGGGGAGAAGGAGGAGGCCTGACTTGGTGTGACCCATTTCAGTCTACATGGCGACAGAGAGCGTATTTCTTCAAAAGCATCATTTGTCTCCAAGTGACTGACATGGGAACCTGATGGGGAGGCGATTTGCAATTGTTTTTTTCCAGGAAGAAAGGAAAGAGCAAGGTATAGCTGATTAGCAAGTTAATTATTTCAGTACCCCAAGGGTTCCAGTGTGGTGGTAAGTTGTCCGGCCCTGGTGTAATTTCACAGTCCGTGCATTTCCTGGTGAGCACCTGGAGTGCCTGAGTCTGTCTCTTTCTCCATCCACCTGCCTCGCGTCTTCCTGACACAGCAGCAGGGGCTGGGGAGGTAGAAGGTACAGGGCACACGTTCAGCCTCAACTGTGGCCTACCTGATGCCATCTACCTCCGCTGAGTGTTTAATTATCTGGCCCTTTCTTCTCCTTTTTTTTTTTTTTTAAATCTCTTGTTTAATAAATATTAATGAGGCAGGTCACCAGAAAGAGGAGTTGCAGGGAGGTTGTTTCCCCAGACTTAACGTGGAAAGAACTGGGTTTGAGAAGCCCTTCTGCCTCTCCCTCCTAGACCTGGCGGCTCTCTAGTACTCATGTGCCGTTTCCCACCTCCGGCCACCACTCGTCCTGCGGCAGTTCCTCCAGTCTGACTTCAAGATCTGATTTCTCCTTGGGGGAGGAGTGTGTGGTTAAATGGACACCTCCCCTCAGACGGATAAGTTGGGGATGTGAACATTAGCCTCAAGAATTAACAGCTTCTGCCGCTGTCTGCTCTCTGGAGGCTGGTAGGGCCAGCCCCCTGCCGCTCCTTCTGAGATGGATGAGGGGAGGGCTGCACAGTTTACTTAAGAGTGGTCCCATCTGCTCAGACTGGCCTTTCATAAGGGGAGGGATTTATGCAGTGTCCTTGTGCACAGACCTGGGATTTGGCTGAAAACCTTGGGCCTCTGAGAATATTACTGAACGCTAAAATGTTCAGCCACGGAGATGATTCATGATTTTGTCTGCGTGGACAGGGTGTGTGTGTGTGTGTGTGTGTGTGTGTGTGTGTGTGTGTGTGTGTTGGGGGGGTGCACTTACACTGATGAGTGCTTTCCACCCATCTCACTTCAAATCCAAACATAGGAAACTCTTTTCTTCTGTATTCACTCAGGAGACATCCCACGGCACTGGGCTCCGGTGAGCCAACTTCCTGACTTCAGCAGTGTGAAGATGCTACGACATATTCTGGTGCTGGCATTCAGCTGTCCCCCAAGCAGGTTGGCTGATATCCATGCTGATCCCTGGAGAGGGGCCTGAAAAGACAGTTCTGATGACTTCATTGCTGGTGGCAGAGGATTTGGGGAGCAAGGGTGGGAAGGGTGAGTCCAATTGCTGTTTAAATTGGACTTGGCCCCCTTTACCGCCTAGTCTAAGGTGTCTCAGTAGGAGGAAAGGTAGTGAGAGAAACTTAGAAGCCAGGAAAGCAGGCATAGGGAGGGGTTCCTTGTCTTAATCCGGGTACTGTCATGCCAAAATGAAGCCCAGAGATGGTTAAAAACAGATTCCTAGAGAGCAGAGCTTTGAGGTTCCATGTGGGATCGCGGCCTGACTCTTGGGAGATGAAGAAGTTTTGGGCAAGTTTGGAAAGACCTGCAAGCGCCATTTGTTCATAATCTTTGGGGGATAAATGCAATGTCTCATCGCTGCCCAGTGGCTGCTAAGGAAGCCTTCTTAGCTTGTTTGTTGCTCATTTGTGGTTCTGCCATCTTCTCGCTCATGTTCCAGTTTGGTCTTGTAGAAGAAGACCAAGCCTTCCCAGCTCTTTAGTTTTTCTTTTCCCTCTGGCTATCCATAAGTCAGCCAACATTCTAGTCCGCTGGCCGGCACACAATTTCGGAAGGTGAGCTGGCAGGCCCATCACTATGTGTGCAAGGTTGTTGTTGTTTGGGCCCCAGGAAGGATATAGTTTCAACACTTACGAGAAAGAAAAGCAGGGGAGCATTCCTGTGAAATCTTTCGATGAAGAATTTACCATTTGATAAGTGCAATGCTCCATTTCCTCTTTCTGAATGAATAACTTTGTCAGTTAACGCTGAGGGTCTGCAGAACCTATGAAAAAATGCTTCCTTTGGTCTCCCTGTTTTAACACATGCTGGGGCATGGGCCTTCCTGTGACAGACTGGGGAGGGGCAGACACATTCCAGAGACCAGGTCTTGGAGTGTTATCTCTTCGCCTACCCCAAACCCTCACCTTCCACTTTATCTGTCTTTACTACACATGCAGAGACCTCCTGGAGGAGTGTGAAGGGGTAGGTTTTAATCAGGTTTGGGGAAGGAAGGAGAAGAAGGTGAGCCCAAAGAAATATGGGGACAGTTTGAGGTTTTTAAATGACACTTTTCTGTTATACTACTCATATGTTGTGTATTATATCCTACAAATTGTGCATTTGTTGTAGTAGTCTACAATGTATGTGTGTGCTTGCCAAATGCTGCTTGGCCAAAACAGTGTTAAATAAAATTGTAAGAAATGCTGCCAGGGCCTTGCATGGGTTATTTAATTCTATCAATGATAAACAATGTTAATGTGTAGCATCTCAGTCAGCACAATATCATGTTTCATTTATATATGCCGAGATATATTTAAGCATGAAAGATACAGTTTTCCGACACATATATTTCCCAATGATTACTTAGGAGAAATGTGATAGAAACAGCAGAAACCTTTCTCTCACACGTAAACCTGCACCCTACACACGCAGACTGCCAGTCACACTTAGTCTCATGGGCAGCCAGCCATGTACATATTTTCATATACGTGCCTTTGCTGGTAAATATAAACGTAGCTTTTGTAAATGTAGATTTAGCTTTGTGTATATGTACACAATTCTGGACACATGAACCAGCACATACATTGGGCAGCATTTCAGAGTCTTTGGTGCATTTACACATATTTTCTCACACAATTACGTATACTGCTGCAGAGATGGATGCTAACATTCAACATGCATGTCATCCTGCACGTGGATATTTACATGTACACATGGAAGTGCTCTAACCGCCAAGTGCTGATGTGCCCAGAAGGATGTGTGCCCACTTGCAGGAGACTGCTGTGTATCTAAATGTGCATCTATGTACATGTGCACTTTTGCACACACACACTTACACATTCCTCCACCCCTGCTCTGGGGAGTACATAGACATTCACTGGCATGTTCCATATGGCCATGGAGCAATAGCCATGGTGGACAGTTTCTGTACTGGGACCTCTGTGCATTTGCCCTATATGAACCCTGAGGCCTTCAGGATGGGGAGCCTGGAAGAGCAGGGTCAAGATGCCAGCCTCTCTAGCCTCTGATGAAAATAACATGAAAATGTGGGGGTGGGAGAGGGGGTTGGGTAGCTGGTCTATGCAGACAGAAGTGCCTCCAAAAGAGTATCAATCTTTTATTTGCTCATTTAACAAACATGTCAGAGAGGTAGATAAGAGTCAGGATACCTGATCAGCTTCTCTGGTCCTGGTTCTGCTACCAGTTAGTTGTGTGAATCTAGGCAACCTGCTCTCTGGGCCTCAGTTTTCATATCTGTAAAGTCTCAACCTAGATGGATGGTTCTCAACCCTCGATGCACAGTGGAATCTTCTGGGGAGCTTTTAAGAAATATAATTCTTGGACTCCACCCCAGAATGATTAGACCAGATCTCTGGGAGGTGAGTCCCACCATCTCATTTTTTTTTAAACCAGCCCCCATCAGGTGATTCTAAGTTCAACCAAGGTTGAGACCCATTGGATCTCCAAGAGTGTTCTAGCCCTAAAACTCTATATGCTATGAAGGACCTTTTATATCTGAAGCACCAGGGCACTTTGCTAAAAGTTATAAATTTGCTTGTCATGCAAAGGTCATAAAAAGTTACTAAAATGATTCTTCATTTAGGAAAAGAATAATTTTGAACAAACTACATTTATCCTGGAAAAACTCATACCTGCATTTCCAGCTGTTTCTTTGTTTCCTTTCCAATCCCTCTCTCTCTGACTCACTCGTCAAACATTAATTATATGCCATATATGCAAACACTATAAGTGGGTACCTGATAAATGTAATAGATGCCTCTGCTACAGAGACAGATTTCCTGTCTAGCGCCTCCCCCCACCTGTTGGATGGCGTAATATTTTTAGCAGGGTAAATGAGAAGGCACAGCCCTCAGGAGGAACGTTCTCTCCCTCCCGCAGCCCTGAGTCAGAATCCAGCCCCCAGGCCCGTGCCCCAGTTCTGGAGGCTGGTACGGTGGCTGAAGAAAGCCTTGCGCTGAGGGTCCTAGAAAGCTGCTCTCAGACCTGGGCCTTTGGGAATCCCACATTAATATTCTCCAACAACAGTCCCCCAGGCAGGGCCAGTCCCCCTTGAAAACAAACCTGCTCCGTGGCCGTGCCTGCCAGAAAAGGTTGAGCCAGGCAGAGGCATCTCATGCTCAGGGGCCTGAGACCCTTGTGCGTCCGACCCTCTCATCAGCTCCTGTTTGCTGCCTGTTTCTCTGCTTACCTCTTTATTCCCCCCACCTCCCTTTTGTTTGATCTCCTTCTTCCCTGATGCCATACCAAGGTAAGCCTTGGCCCCCAAGGGGCCTGCACACCAGGCAGGAGAGGTTGCTGGTCACAGTGGACACCTCGGGCCATGTCCAGTGCCCCTTCTCCCTCCTCCCTCCTTCTCTTGCATGGAGGTTGGGCTTGGTGCCGAGGAGGGAGCCCTGGGGGCAGCACAAGGAGGGAGCCCTGGGGGCAGCACGGGATCCTCAGACTCCAAACCCAGATCCAGGGCCCAGAGCTCAGCTTCCCAGGCCTGAGCCCCTTCCCAGCCCAGCCCCCCTTGAGCCTGGGGAGTGTCACACCCCAGGATGTGATGGATTCCCCAGGCACCTTCAAAGGGCTCTGCATTTGTTTGCAAGGCAGACCTTGAATCCTGCTCTGGTCATAAATGTTGTTTATTTTGACTAGGACCTACTGAAAGGGGACTGGGGGTGGGTGGGGAGGGCAAAGGGAGAATTCTGTGGGGAAGATCATAAAACCATTAGCAAAGCAGGGCTTTTAGGGGTCACAGGATCATAGACACTTTCTGGCTGGAAGGAGCACAGGCCATCAGGAAGGTCAGAGATGTCCACTTCGTCAGCAAAAGGCCTTTAGAGGCCACACAGGGCTAGGGTGGGGGGCTTTGGGCCTCTCTTAGGGGGACTATTTCTAGAAAGTGGATACAAGGTATGGGGTCATGACCCCCCAATAACCTTACACCAGGCGGGGGAGGCCAATAGTTGCTGAATATGATGGATTTGCCCTGCTGGTGGGAAGAGCCAGTTGCTTGACCCCGTAGAAGAGACTCTTGTTCCAGGCACAGGTCCGGGCACAGGTCCTGGGGGAGAGTCTGCTTCACTGTCACTCACAGAGCAGCCGGTGTGCACCAGTACCTTGCTCTCCAGTACCTTGTCTTCTTTAACCTTCAGAACAGTTCTGAAAGAGATGTTTTTATCTCCATTTTGCAGATAAGAAAACTGAAGCTCAGAGAGGGGAGGTGGTTTGTCCAAGGCCACACAGCAAATTAGTGGTCAGGCTGGGATTAGGCTTTAAGACGTTGGGTTCTTTAAATCTAACCTCCTCCCCATCTCCCTCTTCTCCACTATGCACTGTGGTCTGGTTCCCTGCAGCCAGAGAGACAAAATAGGAGGAGGGCTCTGGCCTGCTCTGCAGAGAACATACTCCCATAGATCCAGTCTGTAGCCAGGTAACAGTCTCAGCTTTCACTTGCTGTGTGACTCAGAGCAAGTCCCTTCATCTTTCTGAGTCACACCTTCCAGGTCCACCTGCAGACCTGGGGTCTTCAGGAAGGTGAGCGGTGGTGGTGGGGGGTGGCAAGTTGATCCCCTCTTGGGTATAACGGTTCAAGTGGGTAGGAGGAGATGAGACTTGGCTTGGCCCCCAGACCGGACTCAGATCACAGAAAGACACCTCAAAAGCAGGCGAGGCAAGGCTGGCTAAGATCCCTGCTGAGCACGCAGGAGGCGCAGAGCCAGGGCAGAGGCAGCTTAAGGAGCGGTTCTTCCCTGATCCCTTGGCTGTGTAATCCAGTTGCTCAGAGAATGGAAAATCCCCTTCTCCTCCACTGGCCCCCTCCCCCACAAAGGCCTCCTAATAGGCCTGCCAGCTTTGGGGCGCTAATCTGCCCAGACATCACTCTGTGAGCAGGCTGCCTGAGGTCCCAATCCCAGCCGCCCCTCAGCGGGACACGGGGAGGCTGGGGTGGGGGTCCGGGGAGCTGGGGCATCGCCTGCAGTCTGGCCTGCTCAAAGGATCAGAGAAACAAGCAGGCCTCTGTGCCGGGGGACACTTCAGGGCTGGGGACAACAGCCCAGGACTGGACGGAGGTGGGTGGGAAGGCCTTGTCCCCTGGCAGAGGTGCCTTGGGCGGGTGTATTATTAGGCAGCCCCATCACTTCATCCACCCGCTTCTTTCATTTTTATTTAAAGACTGGCTCCCTCCCAGGCACCTTCGCCTCCCCCACCCCCTACACTTTCACTCATCCATCCACGCGGCCGCTGACAGCTGCCCTGCGGGTGAACTCCTGATCCTCCTGCGGCTGGAGCAGCACGGAGGGGCTCAGGCCAGAGCGTGCCCCTCCGCCCCTGCCCTCACACTCACCACTGGCTCGCCGAAACAGGGCCACCCTCGTTCCCCTGAATCAGATGAAGAGAGAAGAAAACAAGGGAGGTGGAAGAGCAGGCAGAAGGACCAGGAGAAGGATGAAAAGAAAGAAACGGTGAAGAGGGGAGAAGAGGAAGAGAAAATAGAACAGAGAAGCAGGCAGGGAAGGAGGAAATGGAGAAGGAAGAAGAGAGAGAGGTAGACATCGAGTACAAGGAGATGGAAACATGGCAGGAGAAAGGAAGGAAGGAAGGCTGGATGGAGAAAGGGCGGGAGTGGGCAGAGGCTGGGGAGCACTCCTCGGGGCGGGAGCGGGAGCCGAGCCTTCCCCGCACAGGCGGAAAGGAAGCCCGAGCTTGCTCCAGGTGTGAGGGATGAGGCTAGATGGAGCCTCCTCCCCCAGCTCCCACCTCAGTGAAGGTTCATCGATATGATGCTATAGACCATGGCGATGGCCATCCAGGCTGTAATCAACACTTGGGGTGGTTGGGGTTGTAGGACTGGTCAGATGGAGCCCTTCCATCCCTTCTTGGGAAGGTGACAGCTCCCACCCTGGTCTACATACCACACCAGCCTCAATTGGCCTCGCCTCTGGCAACATCTCTGTCCCGCCCACTCTCTTTGGTTGCTGTTAGGAATTGGTCCTGCTTGTTGGATTTGATGTTATGGGGCACTGGGCCTTAAAGGCCAAGTACGTTCCATCCCATCATTTATAGATGGGAAACTGAGACCTGGAGAGGGGAATAAACTTGCTGATAGTCACGTCGTGAGTTGATGGAGACCTGCCTTTCTAACCTTGAAGGCTGAGGGTGAGACAACAGCCACAGAGGAAGGAGGAAGAGGGGCAGTGTG